TTTTTCTGTTTATTGTTACTCGTTCTATTGAGAGGATGTTTAGCTTTACATACTAGTACTATTCCATATGTACTAACGACCTTTTTGTCGGGGCGTTGCATCTATAATGAATGAAGGTGGTTCCATAGCAGGTGGTGTTGATCCGTGATAGCAACATACCCTTTCTACAGCTGACTTGGTGAGCCTCACTGCACTTTGGGGTCCTGTATCTCTTACTCTTTGTACATAGCATTTTGAGGTATAGTCGGGGCCTTGTTGCCGGCACTATCTTAGCACATTTTTGGTACTGTTAGATGCTCCATAGACTTAGTGTGGGTTGTATCTTGTTTTGGGAAGGTTGAACTTAACTTGTTGTAAATGTACCATCTGTTCCACTTTCACTACGAATATATAATGTATTACTTTGGGAACTTGTTAACGACGTAACTAATGGAAATGAACTAGTGTTATTCACATGACCTCTTACTGTCTAGCTAATGAAATGTATTCATCTCTTTAATCATGGGTGTATTGGGTAGACGACATTGTGCACGCTTCCTTGACCGGGGTAACCCTGTGGAGCGCCGGTCGTGCTCCCCAAGGTCGAGGTGTGACAAGTTTGGTATTAGAACCTAAGGTTTTAAAGTGTCCTAGGATGTCTCGAAGTTGTGTCTAGTAGAGTTTTTCTTATCGGTGTGTTGTTGACAACATCTATAATTAGGAGGTTGTTTGGACATTTAGGAATAATACCATTCTTTGATATTGTAGATCGTGCAATAGAGTTGATTGTACGACTATTCTGCCTCTAACTCGTGCATTGCTCTAATTTTCAGTACACGGCGCCTAGTAAGAAAATAAAAACTGGCCAAGAAGACAATGCACCCCAGGAGTGGTAGTTGATTCTTTAAGTGATGATGCGGGTGAGAGACCAATGGGTGAGAGCATTCCCCCGACTACTACACTGCCTGATTTTACTACTCCTGATCAGACCGCACCAATCCCTACACCTACTAAGGGTGCAACTATTCCACCCCCTACTGATATCCCAGTTCCACCTCCAGCCCCAGCTTCTGGTTCCAGTGTATCTGATGGGGATCTTAGGGGAGCCATACAGATACTGGCTGAGATAGTGGCTTCCCGGACCCAGAGATCAAATATTGCACCCACTTCTTCTAGTCAACTAGGGGATTCCTCCAGTTCTAGGGTGAACAGATTTCTCTAGTTGGATCCTCCAGTGTTCACATGTAATAATCCTGAGGAGGACCCCCAGGATTTTATTGACGAGATACACAAGACCCTCCGAGTTATGCGTGCTACTAAGACGAAGAGAGTGGAGTTGGCCTCCTATCACCTGAAAGGGGTGGCCTATTCTTGGTTTGAGATGTGGGAGGACTCCCGTGAGGAGGGGAGCCCTCCGGCGAGGTGGAGTGAGTTTGCCGATGCTTTCATTGATCATTTCTTGCCTATCGAGACTAAGTTACCCAGTGCCACTGAGTTCGAGAGCCTGAATCAAGGTAGCATGAGTGTATGGGAGTATCATATGAGATTCACGCGCCTATCGAAATATGCCATCTATATGTTGCCCAATATGGAGGCTAGAGTGCGCTGGTTTATACAAGGGCTTGAACTACGGTAAGATGGTAAGATGGTGGCATTTTCTCAAGCCATAGAGACCCACAAATTGAAGATCATAATAGAGCATGATGGCAGTAACAAGGCCCGGTCCGCAGGCAACTTTGGTGGTTCTTTTGGTAGTGGTGGTGGTAGGTCAGCATTTCGGGCAGGGTCGTCAGGGACCTCCCAGTCTTTTCCTCAGTCTTCGGTCAGTGCACAGCCATCGAGGTCTAGTCAGGTAGTTGGGGAGCCATTTTAGGCCCAGCCAGGGCAATAGGGGATCCTACCAGCAGGGTCTGTCTAGTGGGAGATTTCAGTAGTAGAGGAGGCCGCCATGCTCTAGGTGTGGGAAGATGCACTTTGGGGCCTGTTTCATAGACCAACCTGTATGCTATGAGTGTGGTATAAGGGGTTATATTCAGAGGGAATGTCGTTCATCTCACCGGAGCATGGGTAGGGGTACAGCACAACCAGCCATCTCTGCAGCTATTACATCCGCATCACCTCCTCTAGCTTGAGACAATCCAGCACCCGTAGGGCGTGGTGCAGCTAGGGGTGGTGCACAGAGTTCGGGAGGACCCAACCATTTCTATACTATGAAGGGTCGCCAAAGTTCAGAGGCTTCTCTAGATATCGTCACAGGTATATTAACTGTCCAATCTCATGATGTGTATGCTCTTATTGATCCTGATTCCACCTTCTCCTATGTCACTCCCTATGTTGCTATGGAATTTGGGATAGAACCGGAATCGTTTCATGAGCCGTTCTCTGTATCTACTCTGGTTGGTGAGTCTATTGTGGCCGCGCGGGTTTATAGTGACTGTGTTATCACGGTGCATGGTCGGGACACCATGACCAATCTTATTGAACTAGGGATGGTTTATTTTGATGTAATCATAGGGATGGACTGGCTTTATTCATGTTTTTCTAAACTTAATTGCCGAACTAGAACCATTAGATTTGAATTTCCAAATGATCCAGTTGTTGAGTGGAAGGGGGATGATGTGGTGCCGAAGGGTAGGTTTATTTATTACCTTAAGGCCGTCAAGATAATCAACAAGGGATGTATTTACCATTTTGTCCAGGTTACGGACACCGACGCTGAGGCACCTTCATTTGAATATGTACCAGTTGTGAATGAATTTTCGGAGGTCTTTCCTGATAAACTCCCTGGGATCCCTCCAGACAGGGAGATTAATTTTGGGATTGATGTGATGCTATGCACGCAACCTATATCTATTCCACCTTATAGAATGGAACCAGCAGAGTTGAGGGAGCTAAAGGAATAATTAAAGGATTTGTTAGAGAAGGGTTTCATCCCGCCGAGTATGTCTCCTTGGGGTGCGCCGGTTCTTTTGGTAAGGAAGAAAGATGGGTCATTGAGAATGTGATTTTCTGCATCTCAACAAGGTCAATTTCAAGAATAAGTACCCGCTGCCAAGAATAGATGACTTGTTCGATCAATTCCAGGGTGCTAAGTATTTCTCCAAAATTGATTTGAGATTCCGGTACCATCAATTGAAGATCAGGGAGTAGGATATTCCGAAAATAACTTTTAGAATCCGGTATGGGCACTTTGAATTTCTGGTAATGTCTTTTGGGCTAACAAATGCCCCGACAACTTTCATGGATCTTATGAACCGAGTTTTCAAGCCGCTCCTTGAATCTTTTTTGATAGTGTGTATTGACGATATCCTTGTATATTCAAGAAGTCGAGAGGACCACGCCGGTAACCTCAGGGCAGCTCTACAGACTTTACGTCAGCACCAGTTGTATTCAAAGTTTTTGAAATGTGAATTTTGGCTTGAATCTGTCGCGTTCTTGTGTCATGTCATCTCTAGAGAAGGAATTAAGGTTGATCCTCAGAAGATTGCAGCTGTGAAGAATTGGGCTAGACCTACAACTCCAACTAAAATTCATAGTTTCTTGGGCTTAGCCGGATATTACAGGGAATTTGTGGAGGGATTTTCTACTCTTTCCTCTCCATTGACTAAGTTGACGCAGAAGACAGCTAATTTCCAATAATCAGATTCTTGTGGAAGGAGCTTCTAGGAGTTGAAATCAAGATTGACTACGACACCGGTATTGACCCTACCAGAGGGTACAAATGGATATGTGGTATATTGTGATGCTTCAGGAATGAGACTTGGGTGTGTGTTAATGCAACATGGCAAGGTGATAGCTTATGCTTCTAGGCAACTCAATAATCACGAAAAGAACTATCCAACACACGACTCAGAGCTTGCAGCAGTGGTATTTGTATTAAAGATTTGGCTTCATTATTTGTATGGGGTCCATATGGATATATTCACGGACCATAAGAGCCTTCAATACATTTTCAAGCATAAGGAATTGAATTTGAGGCAGAGAAGATGGCTTGAGTTACTAAAGGATTATGACATCGATATTCTATATCATCCTGGGAAGGCTAATGTTGTAGCGGATGCTCTTAGCCGGAAATCTATGGGCAGTTTGGCTCACTTGGAGGCATATCAAAGGTCGTTGGCCAAGGAGGTTCACCGGTTGTCTAGCTTGGGAGTTTGCCTTGCGGATTCTAGTGAAGGAGGAGTGATTGTGCAAAATAGGGTTGAATCATCGCTTGTTGTGGAAGTCTAAGAAAAGCAGTACAACGACCCATTGTTGGTACAATTGAAGTAGAGGATTCATAAATATAAGACCATGGCCTTTTCTCTTGGCATGGATGATGGTACACTAAGGTACCAAGGGTGACTATGTGTGCCAGATATGGATGGTCTCCGAGAAAGAATCATGACTGAGGCTCACACTTCCAGGTATTCTGTGCATCCGAGCTCTACAAAGATGTACCATGATCTTAAAGATGTCTACTGGTGGAACGATATGAAGAGAAATGTAGCAAACATTATGGCAAGATGTCCAAATTGTCAACAAGTAAAGTCCGAGCATCAAAGGCCGGGTGGGTTGGCCCAGAACATAGAAATTCCGATGTGAAAATGGGAGATGATCTATACAGATTTTTTGGTAGGACAGCCTCGCACTCCTCACAAGTTCGACTCGATTTGGGTGATTATGGACCGACTCACGAAATCAACACACTTTTTACCTGTTAAGGCTACCGACACAGCGGAGTAGTATGCTCAATTTTATATCAAGGAAATAGTCAGGTTGCATGGCACTCTAGTTTCCATCATTTACGATCAGGGGGCACATTTCGCAGCTAACGTTTGGAAGAACTTTCAGCAAGGGTTGGGCACGCAAGTAAATCTAGCACAACTTTCCATCCACAGACCGATGGGCAAGCGGAGCGGACTATTCTGACGCTCGATGATATGTTGTGCGCTTGTGTTCTTAACTTCAAAGGTAGCTGGGATGATCATTTACCGCTCATAGAATTTTCCTACAATAATAGTTATCATGCTAGCATTCAGATGGCACCGTTCGAGGCTTTATACGGTAGGATATGTAGATCTCCCATCGGATGGTTTGAGATTGGAGAGGCAGAGTTAATAGGGCCAGATCTCGTGCATTGGGCTATGGAGAAAGTTAAGACCATTAAGGAGCGATTGAAAGCTTCCCAAAGTTGTCAGAAGTCTTATTCAGACGTGCGTCGTAGGGGTTTGGAGTTCCAAGATGATGATTGGGTTTTCCTGAAGGTTTCCCCCATGAACGGGGTAATGCGGTTTGGTAAGAAAGGGAAATTCATTCCAAGGTATGTTGGACCATATAAAATCATTCAGAGGGTCGGTCAAGTGGCTTACAAGCTAGAACTACCTCCAGAAATGTCCTTAGTGCACCTTGTGTTTCATGTGTCCATGTTGAAGAAGGTGGTTGAAGATTCGTCGCTTATTGTTCTGATTGAGACTATAAAGGTTGATGAAGAGTTTACTTATGAAGAAATTCCAATTGCCATTCTTGATAGGCAATTACGAAAATTGAGAAATAAAGAGATTTCCTCCGTAAAAGTGATATGGCAAAACCAACAGGTTGAATAGGCCACCTGGGAAGCCGAGGGAGAGATAAAGAACAAGTACCCTAATTTATTTGAATAGCTTATGTTAGGAATACTCCATCTTGGTAATGCAATGTTTATGGAATTATTGTCGGTGTTATTTCCATATTGTTTTACATCGTTATGTTGTGGTTATGCTGTTAGGATTGGGTTATGGGATTTCTGACAGGTGGATAGGCCCAATTACAGGGGAAACTCTGCCGAAAAATTTGGAAATTTAGGGAGTTAGTCAGAAATTGGGGACTGTTGGGGTGTGAAGTAATGGCTGAATCATTGCGGATGCTAATGGCAGATTCTGACCCTCATTCAGGTATGAATGATCTTAAATGGGGGACGATGTATGGCCCCATAAAATCTTACCAAAAACCCTGGGTCCCGTAGTGCCGAGGTGGACTTATGTGTTAACGATTGTAGGAGTGAAGAAGAAACCTGAGCTAATTTTGGGACCAATATGCGGTCCATTATGCGGCCACATAATCATTTCACGGGACGTACAATCCATCGCAAATCCCACATAAAATATTTTGGAGGGATGTTCTGCGGTGCATTATGCGACCGCAGAATAAGCCTGCGGACCGCAAACCGGTCGCAGAGTGAAGCAGAAAATGCCATTTTCGGAGGGCCATTATGCGGCCCATTTTGCGGACCGCAGAAGTTATATGTGACCGCAGATTTGCATCGGGGCTTCATTTTGTTTTAATTTTTGAACCCAACCCCATTCTTATAAAATAGCCTTAGGGATCATTTTAGAAGGTTAAAACTTACATTTAGAGAGAAAGGGAGTGCCATTAAGTGGGATGGGGAGTTCCTAAGCTCCTCATTCATCAATTCTTTCTCAAAGTTGAAGAATTTGCAAGACGAATTCACTAGGTCTTCATTCTAGAGGTAAGGTGCTACTCCATAGCCCTCAATTTCGTGATTTTAACTGAAAATACGCAATAAGCCAAGCAAAGACTTGGGTGTGGGAGTTGTTTATTTTACATGCATGTACCATCAAGGGTAGTGGGAAGATTGTTGAGTTTGAGTAAACTTTGGGTAGTGGAATGAAAGAATCCACCATAGTAGGACCTTGAAACCTTAATGCACACCTAGTGTTTGATAAAATGCTCAAGTGAGCTGGAACTATGAACTCCTTCCTAATTTATTTTCGATTTTTCTATATCTCTTAATAGATCAAAGTGGCTAAGGTTTCTAGAACTTTGTAGTAGTTTAAAAGCTCAAGGCGAGGTATGTTGGCTAAACTCTTCCCTTAGAATTGACCCCACAATATCCTTGTAAGTCTCGGGATGCTTATTATAAATTGATTAATTCGAATAAGCTGTGTGTCAAAGTAAGCATGCGTTCAATCTGTACCCTAAAGATTCTTGTTATGTTGAGTTACCGTTTGAGAGTGTGGTTTAAGTATGGGGCTGTGTGGCATTGTGTTGTGATTTAAAAACGTGTTTCTAGTGATAGTTATCATGTCAATTGTGTAAGAAATCACATGTTCCTAAGACCCTAAATTGCCCAAATATGTTTTTAAAATCTTGATTTGAAAGGCCTTGTTATCGAGTATTCACAATGGTATTTGAAAGTAAATAAAGAGAGCCTGAAATATGATGTGCGGCCACGTGCCAAGAATTATATTATATTATGGCCAATGGTGCCAATGAAATAAATGACATGTAAAAGAATATGAAATGTGTGATAAATACTTGTATTAATAAATGCTTTGGTAGTATCGTTTAGTCACCGAGGAAGGGTATGTCAAAATAACCTAACCCCGAAACTACACGTGCCGGTGTAGGAGTAATTGAGGGGTAAATCATCGTGTTAATGTGACGGGTTTGTTTCCCCTTATATGGGATGATATTGATGTGTTGAGATGTTTCCCCTTGAATGGGATGGGATTATGGCTAGCAAGATGTGATGTCAACCCACAATGCATTGTGGTGAGATGGCTTAGCCGATCAGGCGGAGAACCGACGCCATGCCGCGCACATGGTGGTATTGTGAGTGGATGTCTCGGGGTGAGACAGCTTAGCCGATCGGGCAGATATCGGACTCCGTACTAAAACACGGTGGTATATCGGTTCTAAAGGTCTCCCAATTTAAAATATCGAACTTTCTTGAAATGTACCTTTCCCTAACATGATGCTTTGTTACTATTTGAGTCTTTTATTGATTTCATGTTTCTTTCTTTGTTTATTGTTACTCGTTGTATTGAGAGGGTGTTTAGATTTACATACTAGTACTATTCTATATGTACTAACGTCTATTTTGCCGGGGGCGTTGATCCGTGATAGCAGCATACCCTCTCCTCAGCTGACTTGGTGAGCCCCACTGCACTACAGGGTCCTGTATCTCTTATCTTTTGTACATAGCATTTTTTAGGTATACCCGGGGCCTTGTTACCGGCACTGTCTTAGCACTCTTTGGTTATGTTAGACTCTCCAAAGACATAGTGTGGGTTGTATTTTGTTTTGGGAAGGTTGAACTTAACTTGTTGTAATTGTACCATTGTCACGGCCCAAAATCTGACTAGTCATGATGGCACCTAACCCAACCCGCTAGGTAAGCCAATAAACCACTAACCAATTCCAATAACAATTAAAAAAGTAATTAAGTAAAGAAATATGTGAATCTAATACGTTCCCCTAGAACTCGTAGTACAAATCATGAGCTTCTAAGAATAGAGTTTACAAAGCGGAAATGAAATGAATACATCGTCTATTTGAAAAGTACATAAACAGAGTTTTATAGATCTAAGGCTACCACGAACAAGAGGCAGCTACCACTAGGACGCAGGTACATCTTCAAATCCAGCTCCCATCGACCACAGCAACATCAGCAGCCAACATCGTCACGCAAGGTGCAGAAGTGTAGTATGAGTAAAACCGACCCCATGTACTCAATAAGTAACAAACCTAACCTTAGGTTGAAAGTAGTGACGAGCTAACAGAAAGGTCGGGTCCAACACTAATATTCCACAATAGTTCATAACAGCATAGTACAATAACAAAGAGTATCTAAGAAATACAAGGCTCAGTTCGTTCACAGTTCCATAAAAATAGGCATTTCTTTTCAAGTATGCCACTGAAAACCCAAATCGTTTACCGAAAAAGCCAAAATACCAGTAAGTTTGAAAATTGTAGTTTTTCCCAAAACTCATTTCAACAAATAGTAAGATGTTTTATTTTTAGATGGCATGAGGAAAGTACTTCTCTATACCTACATGTCAAGATACAGGTAAAATCATAAATGTCCCCAAAACTTGGTAGTAGAAGGAAATGCACCTTTGTGCATGTATCTCAAATACACATGTCAAATGCAATGCATCTCGATGATGAGCTCATGTACTCACACTCTTAGAGTACTCAATCTCAGTGTCTCGCATTCTCTCACACTATGCTTAACACTCTCAATCACTCAGCATTGTACCATACCCGCTGCGGCGTGCAGCCCAATCCATATTTATAGTCGACTGCGCTTACTCGGGGTGTGCAGACTCCGGAGGGGCTCCTTTCAACCCAAGTGTTATAATTTGCACGGACAACACACATGCTGCATGGACAACTCACGTGCCATAATATCAATATCTGGAATCGCACGGACAACTCACATGCTATAATATCAACAACTAGACTCGCACGGACAACTCATGTGCTGCACGGACAACTCACGTGCTATAGTGACAACATCCTCACAAACAAGCCCCCGGCCTCACTCCGTCATCAATCTCTCCAGTCTCACTCACTAGCTCACAATGTCATGAAACTAGCCCGACAGCAATGATATGATGTATCAATAAATAACTGAGACTGAGATATGATATCAATGCATGAATATGACTGAGTACAAAATATCAATGAAATCATTGAGATGACCGTAAGAAACGACCACTATGGGTCTAAACAATATCGGCATAATGCCTAAACATGATATCTAGCATGATTGACAGCTTAACTACTTTATCACAAGGTGAAAACACGGATATGTATAAAGTAGGACCACTATACAGTACCATGGAAATAACAGAGTCCCAATTCACATGATGTACGCCCACATGCCCATCACCTAGCATGTGCGTCACCTCAATACCAATCATATAACACGTATTTCGGGGTTTCATACCCTCAGCACTAAGATTAGAAGAGTTACTTATCTCGAACAAGCCAATACCAATGTCGAGCAAGCAAAGCGATGCTCCAAAGATGCCATCACGCGCGTTTTGACCTCCGAAAGGCTCAAAACTAACCAAAAACAACTCAAATGCATCAAACAATGCTAAAGGAACCAATCACGATCGAAAAAGATAAAATCTTGAATAAAAAACCCAAAATCGGCCAAAAGCCCAACCCAGGACCGCACCTCGAAACCCGACAAAATTCACAAAATCCGACAACTCATTCAATTACGAGTCAAACCATACTAGTTTCACTCAAATTCGACTCCAATTCTATGTTCAAAACTAAAAAATTTATATTATGAAACTTTAGACCAAAACTCCCAATTTCCTTTTTAAAATTCACAATCCAATTACCAAAAATGAAGGTAGATTCATGGAATAAGATCAAAACCAAGTGTAGAACACTTACCCCAATCATTGTGATGAAAATTGCTCCAAAAGTCGCCCAAGTCGTGCTCCAAAATCCGAAAATGGGTGAAAATCGTGAAACCTCGAACTTAAAGGGTTCTGCCCAGTCAATCCGCACTCGCGGACAAGAGGTCGCATCTGCGGGAAAAAATCTCGCTTCTGCGAGAACGGCTTGGCCACTCATGATTGCTTATGNGAGCCATGATCGCTTCTGTGATGCCTAGGACCGCACCTGTTGTCGCACTTCTGTGCGCATTGGCCGCTTCTGTGGGCCTCCTCATCCAGCTCTCATCTCGCATCTGCGACGCCTTTGTCGCACCTGCGAGTATCACATCTGCGCGCCCATTTCCGCTGGTGCGGAAACACCAGAACCAATAGCCTTCAACAATGCAATATGCAACGAAATTGACCCGAACCTGGTCCAAAACTCACCCAAGGCCCCCGGGACCTCAACCAAATATACCAATAATACTGACCTACTCGAGGCCTCAAATCACGCATAACAACATCGAAACGATGAATCGCACCTCAAATCAAAATCTATGAACTTTGAACTTTCAAATTCAATAACTCGTGCCGAAACATAGCAAGTCAATCCGGA